ATATACGAAAAGATCTAAAATAGCAGAACATATCACACGGACGGGACATGAAATAGACTGGAAGTCGACCGATAGGTTGGCTAGCAAATTGTGCGGTAAAAAAAGAACGTTTGTCGATGGATTGACTTTACTTGTCTCTTTGACGAGTTAGTAAATTAGTGCGGCGAATGGCAAAACTCACTAATGTTGCCGACTATGATGCTGGCGAAACGTTTGAGAATGTACCAAGTCCACTGTCTGATGCTGGGACTCATGACAACTACTACGGCAGACAACTTAGGACTAGGTGCGTTTTACTAAGTCACCCTGACAACAAGACCAAGTTGCGACAACAAGGTCAACCCATTTCTTCTACAATGCCGGTTTTCATCAGTGACTTATGCCATTTTCAGCACGATAATGGAACTCGTCAGAGACAAGTAAAGTCAACTACTTGACTATCTCCCGAAACGAATGTGCTAGCACTCATCTTTCTGTCTTGGTTCATCTATCTACTCCTTACCCTAATATCTGATCCGACTCGCGCCTTATCACAATTTCTCAATTGTTTATATTCCACTCCGCAGGAGGAATGCGGATTCTCCCTCCCGATTGGCAGATCCGAATCGGGCCTTCCATCGGGATCTGCCTCATGTGACCCAAGATCCGGTTCATATTTTTTTGGTTGACCGATTTCATTCGGTTCCAGTCCCAGTATACGTTTTTCTCTAAGCGCTATTTCACAATCCTTTAGAAGCACGCACGCTATCTCCCCACTGAGCAGAGCGCCTAGTCTGTCATTCTGAAGTAACGCCTGGAGTAAAACGTTTGCCAGTAAACAGAATTTGGAAAACACGCCCAGCACGTAAAAGTAAATTAGTGGAAAATTCGCACGGACCATGGGGCATATAAAGTCGAAAGATCTAACGAGAACAGACGATTGAAGCCTACCCAGCCAGCACAAGGGATTGGCCGTCATCACAGCTGTATAGGAGATGAGTGATGAGTAAGTAGGATCCAACATAAACTGAACAGCCAAAGGTTAAGCAAAAAGCGGAAAGTTGATGTCTGTCGAGATTTTGCTAAACAAGATCTATTATGCACCTAATTTTTGAACCACTTTTAAATCGTACAAACGAACTCACCAAGATAGAAATAACAAAATCAGAACAGATTTAGGGCAAAAATGAGAATGAAGTGTGGTCAATGGCTATAATATAGTGTTTACAGTGCCACACAAGATAGCTTGAATTAAGTGTAATAAACTCCTATAAGAAAGATAGAAACAAATAATAAGAAAATAGAGGGTACATTATAAGTTAGGCAAGAGTAGGAAAACTCCGCTAGCTTAATAATTTTTTCTGAACAGATCGCAAATTAACCTCACAATTCACTCAGATAACAATAGCGAGCTTGGCGGTAGGAATATCAAAAAGAAATAATTCTCTGGCGAGCAACTAAA